CTTCCGGTGAGATTTACAATTCAAACAAACTTCCATTCCAAACGTGGCGAAAACTTGCAGGAACCTCGCCGGCGGTTCCGTAAAGGTGTACAGTATATACGACGTTTTGGTCTCCGCGTTGCAGCTTCCGGTTTGGCTGTCCGCCGTCCGCGTATTTCGTTCCGCGTCGCGACGCGTCTCGCAATTACAATAAACTCTCAATGGACGAACAATTTCTGCACGCTCGGTCGGTTTCAAAACACCGGCTCTCACGCCATTAGCACAGTTCCCATTGAATATCCCGTAAGAACACGATGGTAACCGGACTAGTTTCAAACATCGTTTAACAAGTTTGAAATCGAAAACACAGTCAACTTTCGTGTACATGTATATAAATGTATGTATTGCTTTATTGTGTTAAAAATATAAATGGATTAGGTTGATTATCTGTTTCACGAAACTATCCTAACTTTCGTTATTTTGCTCATCCTTGGGAACTGGCTCGGTTTCAACGTTTGCTCGTTACATTTCGCTACACAATTGATTGTAACCCATAACTGGCCATAATATCGTGAAAGTATATAACATATACTGTCATAGCTTGGCTGAATTCAATACCAATAAGTGAAGTGAACAGTTCCCAGCCATCAAGTTCATGGATAGGAAGATGAAGGAAAAGATAGGAAGAACGAGCTCGATTTTATTTTACAGCGACCTCTCCTCCATCTCTTTCTCGCTTTCTCTCTGTCTGTCACTATCCCTCTTTCTATGCGTGTGCAATCCAGCTGAAAATGTATGACGGAACTTTTACATCAACCTAATGCCTGTTCAAAAGTTTCCTATAACTCATCCTATGCAAAACCCATAGGACAGAGAAAGCGCGCGACTCTTACGAGCCGTGAATGAAATTTGAAAACTTAAAACTCGTTTCGCGCCTCGGTCGCTTTTCACCCGATTTCGAATTTCATTTTTACTCCCAAGAGTCAACCCATTAAACGTGAATCAATATCTAGAAGAAGAATCATCAAAAGAAAAGAAGATTTATAATGTAATTGATTATTAATGGAATAGAAAGAATGATCTCTTCTTTCTGGTAGTCGAAACTTTACATTTTATTTACGAACAGGCATTTTGTATTAGAATTTCCTATTGGACATCGAAATCCTCTTCGTTACGGTCGAAAGCCATGGCGAATTCTAAAAGTCGAGGCCATAGTTGGCATCGTTGAAGATAATTAAATATCAATTAATAATCTGACGTTATAATGTGAACGAGGAGTGATCGGTCGTCGATGGTTTTCATCGTGCACGCGTTTCAAAGAGCAATTTATCAGAGCTAGGAATGCTGCGTTGGTCGCGCCTCTCGGAGGACAGCAATCGGGTTGTATTTAAATTGTATGAAGGGCCACTTGTCAGGTGGCCAATCCAATTAGACCTCCTACCTGCTGGAAATTACGAGATTTCAGGACTGGCCGGTTCTCTCTGGTCCATTGGGCTTCGATCGCCCCGGTAACCGCTTTTGATTGGACGCTCCTTCTAATTCGGACTCGAGATAGATACATAGACACAGGCCACTTGGACTGGTCATCGAGTTATTAATCGTTCTTTTAATAAACAATTTTATATACCAGTTTTTTGAAAATTTCACACTGGATAAGCCTCTTAATTATTTCAATTAAAACTGCCGGTATAGCCATGAGAGAATCCTGCATGCAAAATTTATCCCATTAGCACAATTGTGTTTAAATTATTATTGAACAATTTAATTATTCCTCAGTATCCAAATATTCATGAGAGTCGAGACAGTCATTCAAACGGAGCATAAAATATTTCATCTCGTCAGTGACAATCAGTTCTAAATCATTCTTCTGACGTATAAAAACTTGCAGACACTCATTTTGCTAATTATCTTTGAGTGCTATCACTGCCATAGCTGTTCGACGTTGTCTTAAAAAAAAGTAGAGTGCTGGTTTTTGCTATGAAGACATCGACAGTCCGGGAAATTAGTTTCACCGGCCTCGTAAAAGTTTGCGTACGTTTTTTTTTCATTCCGGCGCCTTAATATCGTCGTCGAGCACCGCACCGCGCTTCGAGGCTTCCCTTTTTTTTTGTTCCCTTTTCCTCTCTAGAGGGGTCAAGAAAAATGAAAATTTCAACCGGTCGGACCCAGGAGTGAGAAACTTTTTGCGTGACATCTCGACGCGAGCTTCCGGTTATTTGCTTTAATAAAGTGGAAGCCATTGGAAGTGGTGGACGGGCGGGTCGAGGGGGGGAGCTCGTTGAGATTTGCGTTTTCGACGTGTTCGCTGAGTTGAATTATTAATCTTCTCGTTACTTCCTGTTCTTTTTGTCTTTCTTATTATTCGATGGTTGGCAGTTATAATACTTGTGAGAGAAGAATTTTAAAGTAGAGAGGTGGAGCATTAATCTTATAGATGATTTAAACTATTCTGTAGTAGGAAATTTCTGTTAATAATATATTATTAACATAATTAAGAACAGTATTGTCAGAATTAATTAAAATTTTCATTATCTTCATTTAATATAAATGTTATTCTATTTAGCCAGATCGGCGCGGGCAATACGTGAGATATTATTTCGATGATCCTTTATCTGAAACATGCAACTTGTTAAATTATACGATTGAATTAATATTTAGAACGTTTAATTAAACGAATGTTTTCAACAGCGTTTAATTAAATAGTCGAGTGGGCAGCATTTAGTTAATAGCAATTTCAGCCAGGAATTGGCGTGACCTCTTGCTGAAATATCAGAGATATGAGATATTCAATTTCCGGTGATAAGAAGGCGAATCGGGGCGTTCGATAGAGGTTTTGCTTCATTTGAATACAAATTACTCGATAAATTCTTATTGAAATGTGGCGATAGAGGAAGGTTGAGAACGGGCTGAGTCGTTCATTAAACCAAGAGTAATTGCATAAAGGAATGGAACGATTAAAAATTATTCAGAAATGTGATCAGCGCAATTACGGTGTATCACGAGGAATAATTTGAACAGTTTTTCTTATGAAATCACAGTGAACGTCAGATTTAATTGTGAATTAATACAAATATAAAAATGAAAATGAAATTACACTGAAGGTCCAAGATTCGTCGTAATGTTTGCTGTAAAATCATTAGTCGATGATTCCAAAACGTGATGACTTGTGAGAAATGTAAGACAAACGGACACGTGTCATTCGCATAAGAAAATGGAATCTGGAAGGGAACTCAACGAGAACGTAGTCAGACAGTCTGGATAAGCTCGTTGAATGAAAGCGCATTTACTTTTTTCTCAAAACCCAGTACATACTTCCACCCATGAGAACAGAGCGGCGAGTGTTCTGGGTCCAAGGAACGGGGAGGCATTTCCGGTCCGTGGCAATAAAAAGTTACAGTTTTCTCCCGGCGCGCGCGTAAATTCGCAAGATGAATTTTCCAGCGAGAGCAGTTACTTGACATTCAGTGGCTCGCGGCGGTGAATTCAACCGGAGGAGGCTACCCGGAAATGTACACGGTTGCTTGTACGCGTTGAAAAGTTTATTCATAGCCCGGACACGTCGTCGGGAGAAAAAAGAATGGTCCCTCGATTCGCGGCGTCGGGTTTTCAAATCCCGAGCCTGTCGCTCTCGTCCGTCGCACAATGAATCGTCTCGGAAATCTCGAATTAAAAACTCAGATTCAAACGAACCTCCGCGAGACGCTAGCGCGGGTCTCTCCGGGTGATATTGAATTCGAGATAAAAGGAAGAACGAGAAGACGGGTAGAACATGGGAGTCTCTTTGAGGTGTGGTCTCCTTTCGTCGCGGTAACTTTGCCACGCGATTTACGTTCAGCCACGTGCATAAGTCTTGGGGCAGTCTCAGTGTCCATCTATCAAGAAATTTGGCAAACGCTCCAAATTATTATACAATTTTCAATTAATTATTTAGTATAAATACATGTAAAGTAAAATCAGTAATATCAATATTAAAAAGAAAAATTAAAACAATCGAGGCCTAGGTGTTAAACTGGAATTAATGACCCACTTAAGGGTTGAAGAAATTCACTTTATTATTTTACAAACAGTATAATAATATTATACAAGTACTATAAGTTGATGCACGACTAAAACCCAGACTGTCTAATACGCGGTTTGTTAATGCTTTGGGAACTGTCTCTCTTCCCCTTTCCCTCTAGACTTTCGCTTTAAACCCTCGAAACTTTCTCGCCGTCCGGTGTTCACCCTTAAGAAGATTTATTCTCGCGCACATGCACCTGCGTACATTCGCGTAAGCCATTTAGTCGCGTTCCTCGACTTTCTGGAAACTGTTTTCAAAATATCCCACGGTATCGGAACTCCCTGTGTCACTGACAGATTTAGCTAATCTGTCAGTGGCATAGGCTAAATTTAACTTCATTACTACTTTGCTTCTTCTTTTCTTAATAAAACGTTTGCATATTTTTAGACACAGAAAAAGAGCTATTATGAGAATAGATTTTGGTTTAATGTCCTCTTTAATATAATATTAGTTTTCGACTGTTATTTGTGGAACCAATAAGAGAAATTCCAATCCTTGGCATAGAAATTCCATTTCTATGTCATAGATTCGATTATGTAAACTTTAAATATAGATAATTATCAGGAATAAGAAATATTACAATTCTCTAGCATACATATTGACGTGGCATGGATTTGACTATATGTTTAACATTTGGCATGGATTTGACTATATGTACTTTAGTATCATGAATTTCCGATTACGATTTACTGGTTTAACCTACGTTGGTACACGGAACCTTAAGTACTGATCAGAAAAAAATTGGGGCAGATTCACAGACAAGGGATCAATAGAAACAGTGCATACAAGCATTAGTAAAGGAATTTTTGCAATCAATATCGAATATCGTTCGGGTTTGGCTTTCAATAAGTCGGCGTTGTCTATTTGCTGACTAGTAGCAATAACAGAGCGCGGGGCCAAGTCGTAAGAACGAGTTTTAAGCAGCGTAATTGACCGCGTTTCCCTGTTTCTCTGTTTCCAGTTCAACCCGCGTACGTACGCGTCATCGACGAGACCACGAACAAAACGTTAAGCACTGGCGCCACTTTAGGACCTATAAACGAAGGCTCGACGATTTCCTTGTACTGCGAGAGCGGCGCGGGTAAACCAGTGCCTGTCGTCGAGTGGTTTAAAGGCGACCAGCTATTGGAAGGTAACAGAAGCTGCGATTTATTTACTAGATACTTTTCTGAACTATCGTATTTCTTTTTTCGTACAACAGATACGCTGTGTTTCATGTGAAATCAATTTCTCAAGTCTCTGTAAACTTTTGTACAAACATTTATGTAAGTTTGTTCAACAACAATTGTTTTACAATTGCCAACACAGGCGGAATGCACCTGTATATAATAGATATAGGATCCTGGTCAGGATTTCCATCTGTGAAACGCTACTCCTCTGTAACAGCTATCGCATAGCTGAAATGTAATCCACTTTCAAACTCGGACAAATAACGGGCTTAGGTACCCAACAAATGTCAGATTAATTTGTGTTTAAAACAAATATTAATTCGATTCTCGTTCATAGAATCTAGTTTCTAAATAGATTTGTCATTTTTCTACGAGACAGATTGGGTACGTGGCTGTTCCTCTTGAAAAATTTCGTTGCGGGGGATTAAGTTTTAAAACTATCCCTGGTAGTGGCCGAGTTGTGGATGTTTACGTTCATTGCTCGCTTTATATTTTGCCGGAGCGCGTGTTGTTTGTAAGCCGTGCAATTATTACGTAACGCGAACATCACGTGCGGACCAGCATAATCCTTTTTCACGTGAACGTTCCCGTAAGGAACGCTGATGTAACTTTTCCAGACGCGGCCAATGCTCTTTAGTATCTCTTCACTTTGAAATCGCGTGCCTCTCTACGCTTTCTGTCCCCTGACCTCTATATTGCTATCATCTTTTTTTATTTCATTCACAATTTTTGTCATTATTACATAGAAA